GAACAAGCTCCATACTTTAAGCAAGATAGAGAACGAGCTGCCTTAAGCCATGATATGATGCCCTTACTAATTTCGAATTTCATCAAGAGCGAAATCTATGTCACTTGGGATCTTAGAGCTTCGGTTCTTCCTCCAACAATGGATTCCTTCTTGGCTTGGCCTACTCGACTTTAACTAGGCATTTCCCATCTCAGTCAATCTCAATCAATCGGTCTGCCTAGTACGGTCAAATATCATTGTAATGGTGCTTTCATTGTCGACCTCCGCCTCAACATATCTAAAGCCCTGTTCCCACGCAAGGCTCAAGCCTTGAAAAAGTCCCCATAGCTCTGCTCCGGTAATAGAACAGTAGCCTATGTTCATTAGGAATCCACCGCACCAGGCTCCATAGCAGTCCCGAATTACACCTCCTGCATTTGTCAAGATTCTCTCCTTGGTTAACAGCCATAAAAAGGTTCGAACTCGCTGAGGTCCCGACCATTTCCAAACGTATCTCCAAATTATCTCCGACTCCCCACTCTCCTCTTCAGTAAGTGATGAATAAGCAAAATGACTATCGAATAAGGAAGTGACTATTGGAATTGATTCATCCGCATCTCGTTCAAAGTGAAAAGGAAGGTTTGTTCGTGCGATGCTAACCTCTAAGGTTTTGCTGCTTTCAGGTTTTCGGTCTATGGGCAGGTCTTCTCAAAACAGGCCTCCATGTGAATAGTCCGTCTTCCTTTGACGGGCTTATCACGACGTTCTTTGGCTTTTTTCACAATTCTTCCGAACAGCCCGACGTAAATTCTATTATGGCTACTCCCAGTCAAGTGCTTTTGGAGATTCCGGTGAGTGAGGACCAAAAGTCCATCTGGAGAGACTTAGAGCAGCAGGAGCAACCGGCCCCAGCGAATCCAGCAGCGGGCCCAAATCCCCTACGTTCGAGGACCCTTTGAGGCCCCCCGCAAGTAAATGAAAACCGGGAGGCCAAGCTCTTGAAGCGGTTGCGCAAGCTCATAAAAGCGGATTCCATCTTTGTGGCAGACACCGATCTAGAAATAGTGCAAAGTAGCCTTCGGTCGGCCACTTGCCACAGAGAAAGAGAATATGAATTATTGCTGGAATCAGCGTGTTCAGACACTAGCGTACAAGAAATGCGTCATAAATGCACTTTTCAAAGTAAAGAGAGTCTTAGACGACGAAGTCCTTAACTTAAAAACCCCGAGCTTGCCGAAAAATCGACTTTTTTCATTTAAATGACACTTTTTTGGAATTTTGAAATTGACTTGAAAGACAAGAAAAAAGTCTTTCTTTCTCTCACGACATAGGAAGAGCCGTGTGGTGCGGCAAAGGATGGGGCTTGAACATTAATTTCATAAGAGAAGAAAGATGGGATCCTAGCTACGAGTCCGTCCCTCTGACGCCGAATGATCTACTTGCTTTGACTTCATGATTCGGTTGGCGTTCAGTGTACCACTCCGTAGGTAGAAGATCAAAAAGAAGAAAGACTTAAAAATTATATAGAATATATTGCTTAACTAACTCAGCGATCTCAAATCATAGTCACGATCTACTAAAAGGCAAGTAGCTTGATTGGTTCAAATCCAATTCGTGAGAGGGCCCTAGAAAGGCCTACATTCTTTCTTTTTCCCTTGGTCAACAACCAAGAAAAATTCACTTTATTGACTACTCTTACAGGCTTTCTGTCTGTCTGGAGGGAATTTCTTTATCTCAACCAATAATGCGACGCATCTTTCAGTTTGATGAGACGAGTTTAAACAGTCACTCTACGACAACTGACAGCGCAACAACTACGACCACATCCACTACAACTGACAGCGCAACAACTACGACTATAACTGATTATAGTCTTCAATCGTCCGACACTCTAAGTCAAGATGCTGTCCAAAGTATTTCTACTGACCATCCTGGTCTTTTTCCTAAGACTGAATGGATAGTGGAACTGAACACAGAAATACATGAAAAATTGAGAGAGTTGATGACTAGCGGGGCAGACCAACGACGCCGTTAAACTTGAAACCGAAACTTTAAAGGATGCCGTGAAAGTTGCAACCGAAACTTTAACTGGGGAAAGCGACAATATCCCTTTTTTGGAGCACATGTTAAATGATTTGAACACAAACGGAATAACAGGTGAAGCCTATAGGTTTGCCCTGGGTCTAGGAGAGACAATAAGCAGCCCCCTTGAGCAATTTACCATTCTCCCAATGATTCCTATGAAACTAGGAAACTTGTATTTCTCATTCACAAATCCATCTTTTTTTATGCTACTTACCCTTAGTTTTGTCCTACTTTTGTTTTATTTTGTTACTAAAAAGGGGAGGAGGAACCTCAGTACCAAATGTTTGGCAATCCTTGGTAGAGCTTATTTATGATTTTGTGCTCAACCCGGTAAACGAACAAATAGGTGGTCTTTCCGGAAATGTTAAACAAAAGTTTTCCCCTCGCATCTCGGTCACTTTTACTTTTTCGTTATTTCGTAATCTCCAGGGTATGATACCTTATAGTTTCACAGTTACAAGTCATTTTCTCATTACTTTGGGTCTCTCATTTTCCATTTTTATTGGCATTACTATAGTGGGATTTCAAAAAAAATGGGCTTCATTTTTTAAGCTTTTTATTACTCGCAGGAGTCCCACTGCCGTTAGCGCCCTTTTTAGTACTCCTTGAGCTAATCTCTCATTGTTTTCGCGCATTAAGCACAGGAATACGTTTATTTGCTAATATGATGGCCGGGCATAGTTCAGTAAAGATTTTAAGTGGGTTCGCTTGGACTATTCTATGTATGCATGATCTTTTATATTTCATAGGAGATCTTGGTCCTTTATTTATAGTTTTTGCATTAACCGGTCTGGAATTAGGTGTAGCTATATTACAAGCTCATGTTTCTACAATCTTAATTTGTATTTACTTGAATGATGCTATAAATCTCCATTAAAGTGATTCTTTCTTTATAATTGAACAAAAGCGAGGGAGCGAGTGGAGTAGTAGAAAGGAGGGGAAGCGAGTTTACGAGTAATCTCTCTCGCCAAGACTCGTTGGCAACTATTTGATCTTCCTTGCAGCATCGGATCCGTTAGAAAGCAAGGAATGGGTCAAATATAGACTATGGTCCGCACTCTGGTCAATTTTTTGTACCAAGGTACACCTTTATGCTAGGTCAGGCTCTACACTCCAAGGGATGCTATTATCTTTCGTGCCCCCATGATAGCTGTCTATCTTAGAGAGTCAGCGTGAGACTTATTGGCAAGTGGTGATGCACCTTAGCACGGGCGAATCCGTTCATCTGAGACTTCATTATGGAGAGCCATAATCTTTTCTAATAGCTTCCTTCCTTCCCTCCACTCAAACACAAACCCCAGAAGGGAACTCAGCCTCATAAGGCATATATTACAGCACAGGCATCGTAAGATAAGGGAAAAAAGAAATCCTTATCTTAAAAGGAAGAAGATCTGGTCTCCATTCTATAGGTTCGATGGGGATTTTTTTTTCACTCTATGGGATCGAGCCCTTATCAGAGGCATGCCCACCGACACCAGTAAAAGTGTTCGGCTTGCACGTCTCTTTTTTTAACTATGAAAGAATGGGCGCATAAATGTATTCTACCGCTCTTTGTTTACTTTGGCCTTCCCTATGATTTATCCTACACGCGGGAGTTAGATGTTGGAGTAACATCGTTTCCGTTTCGTGGTCAATATACTCAAGAGTTGAGGACCCGAATTCGGTCTATATTCAAGCTGCTGCGGCGCTCACGTGTATTTTGACTCATATTTGGAAAAACTCTGTCTCGTTCATCCCCGACTTCCTTAGTCACTCGAAAGATGCGCCTAAAGTGCCCCAAGCCAAAATAGAAAGAGGATAAGAATGGAAACTATCTAATCGGGATCAGAGTTCTGACCATTCCTTTGAAGGAACGAACGAAGCTATTAGATAAGGAAGAATTTACTAAAAAAGACTGAAAGGGAATCGCTATCGTCTTCTAAAGAAAGGACGGGAGATTCCTTCGAATGGAAAGCCTTCTTACGCCTTTTTAGCGAGAGTTTTGACTGAGCCTTAACTTAAATGCCTCCAGAGGTGCGCTTTAACAGGACTTCCGCTTACATAAAATAAGCCTACGAAAAAAAGACCAAGAACAACCTTCATTGTTATCCTCTTTCTATTTTGGCTTGGGGCACTGTTAGAGACTCATCTTATCTTCCTCACTCCCGAGATGAATGCCGTACTTGAATTTGAGAGGACACTTTGGCCTCCATTGTTAGAGACTCATCTTATCTTCCTCACTCCCGAGATAAACTACTCTCGCAAAAAACCTTTCTTCTATTCCTTACGTCAAGACTCTTCCTTCTAGCGAGTTGCTTATTCTCTGGGTGCACGGAGGTTGGAGCTTTCTTCTTCTTTAGAAAGAGTCCTAAATGCATGAAAAGTGGACAAGGAATGTGGGATAATGGTAGGCCTAGGAAAATTGATAAATCGAAATAATAGCCTGTATAGATACAGGACTTCCCGGAACTTACAATAACAAAAGAAGATGTATGAAATCATACCACTAGGTACGGGGTTTTCAGGACTACCCCTACAACATGTAAAAAAAGCCCGTAATAGCACGCGGAAGATTATTATCTTATGCAAAACTCTCTCTACACCTAATGTTGAAGCAACTCTCCGTTTGAAACCAAACAGATTCTCGTATCTCCCGTTTGAACCTAACCATAAGAACGAAAGAAGCAGTATCAAAGCCTAGAATGCGAAAGAGAATTCCAAAATGAAATGAAAGATCTTGTCAAGGGGGAATGCCGCTTTGTATTATTGTAACTTATCTCTATTCCAGACAAATTGTATTCAGAAGTTCCCAAATGCGGGAATAGACGGGCGTTCGATACGCTTCCCCAAAACTGGCTATCTTGTAGCAGACAACTAACACAAGCCTACTCAATTAATCTCATGGGTAAAAGCATGTTCACATTGCAACTAATAGAAAAAACAACTATTAGGCTAGACTAGTAGTGGAGTGCTCCTTTGTTGTTCGGATCTTGACCGGATTCGAGCTTCCCAAGCTCTATGCTGTTGGGGAATTCCGCAAGGGTCTTACCGCCTTCTTGATTGACTATATTTGAGTCTTTGGAGTACTTGGGGATTATATTCCGCGCCGAGGATTTGTGCTTGTGGACCAGGGTGAATATTGCAGACCAGCGGATCTGATAGTCGACAATCGTTCAGACTTGGTAAAGGTTGTCGCGCCACCTATAGTAGGACAGAGGACTTATCGCGATGCCCTGCGGACCAATTTATGATGTCTCCGTCGCTGACGTTCGTCAAGCAGGCCACGTGGATTAGCCAGGGTCTTCTTCGGCTAATGAGACCTCGATCTCGAAGCCTTCGAAGTATCTTTTTGATAGGCGCCTCTATTTGTATGGGAAATTCGCTTGCTGGTAGATCTCGCCCAGCGTCCCCCTCCTTCCTTTGCCGCCTTCCGACCTGCAGGAGTATACAATGAGAACTTCCGGGCATGAGTGCCCGATCGTGAGACTGCTTGTTGAACGTCCGATAGCACCTTACTTCGACCTGAGCTATGCAACAACGGGATCCCCCCTTGATCCTTGCCGGATGTGCTTGACGGTCCCCCATAATACGCTCACTTGGGGACTTTTGACTCCAGCTATTCCTAGAGTCTCCACCAGTTGAACCGCGTCCAGTAGACTCCCTGTTCCGCTCATCCCCTTCGTCAGCTGTTTGATTGGGATACTACTATTACCTAGGTTCCTAAACTTGGAATGCATGGCGGAGCGTAGATGGTAAGCAGTTATATGGATACGATGCTTTACCCGTAGATGCTTTTCCAGCTCCTGCAAGAATTGTATGGGAGTCGTCCTCGGAGGGACTTCCCGAATGACCGTACCGAGGAATTCTACCGTACTCCTTGCCGCTATTGTTGTTGATCCTGCAGAGTCTACCCAAAGGTTCAGACCGGATTGTAGGAAGTGGGCGATACATTTTTGTATTTCTATGAGAAGCTCTACGGCACCCGCGATTCCCAGTAGTAAGTCGTCGGCATATCGCGCGTAACAAATCCTTATTAAGTAATGGGTTTTTAAGGGGGCCAGCTTACGGGCCAGGCCTCTCTCTAACCTGAGAACTATTATTGCTTCCCGCCCAGCTCTATCAGCAGGCCCTTTCTTTTGCAATACTTAAAAAAGTCTTTCATGGTCCAATTATTATTACAGCGTTCTCTACCACAGAATTCGGCCTTTGGGGTCAACCCGGCGGCTTCTACGAGGAAGGCGGCGCAAAGGAGGCTCGAGGGCTTGTTAAGGAAGGCGGCAAGGGCCGACGAAGGGTGGAAAACGAAAGGCCTTTTCCTGTCCCCCCTGAGCCGGGGGGTGCTTGTGGGGGGTGTGCCACAATGAAACAAGGGAATAAAAGGCCGCTTTACGTTGGATGCTCTTTACCCTCCCCACAATGATGGCTCTGTTGTCTTGGGGAGGGTTGAAGCTTGCTTCTTCTCCAAAGTTTTCTTGGTCATCAATACGACTGTCCTTAATAGAACCGATCTTATTCTCTGAACAATTGGAGTTTCGTACTTCTGTCGGATCCTCCCTATCTCCTGATCGAGCTTGTGAGTAGATATTTCTTGGTAGGGCCGATAGTAATACACTGTGTGGAATGGAGTAAGGACCCTTCTCACCTCCTACGAGTCGTCCGGCGGAAAAGACTTTATGAATGGAGTAAAAGAACTTGGGATCGTCGATCTCTTCCTTAAAGATTGAGATGCGTCGATGTCGGTCGATGGTGTGAAAACACTTCCTGATGTCGAATTCCAAAAACCAGCGGGAGGTTCCCCACTCTTCTTTGATCCGTCTTAGGACCGAGTGGCAGCCTCGACCCGAGCGGAAGTGTGATGTGTCTGGAAACTCGGGATCGTAAATGAATTCGAGTACTATTCTGATCGCCTCTTTCATGATCCTTTCTATAGGTAGAACTGCTGTGAGCGGTCTAAACTTTGATCCTTATTTCTTTCTTCATATTGTAAGGGGGAGAAAAGCCCGTTTTTTGGTCCCTCTATTGATAGATCAAAGGCCTCCTGCCTTCAGTGACTCATAGGGTTTCCGTCCCTCAGCTCAGTCTTTTTGGTTCTTGAGAATGGTCGCCACCTCTCCCAGGACTTGAATGATTATCCCGGCCCGATGGGTCTACATCCATCCCTGAATGTCGTCGGGTACTGTTAACTTCCCCGCCATTCTTGTAATAGTCACCTGTAATTCGCGCAGGTGTGTCCGCATGATAGCAATCTCGTAGACGAAGCAAATTTTGTTAATGCAACCATCAACAAGAAAGTACGAAGATAATTTTGTCTATCCCGTGAAACTCAAAAGAGTGCGGAAAATTCACGGTAACACGATCGTTTATCTAAGTGATTCTATCTCTTAACTCAAACCAAGCAAAGAACACATTATCCATGAAAGATTCGAATTAAACAACAACCCACGCTAAGAATAGCAAGGACACCATTCAATATACTCGATCAGTCATCTATCAAGAGACTCAAGAAAGGCAAGAGCAAACAATGCCCAACTATGAAGGAATACTATTGATTAGTAATCTTCATAACCAACCAAAGATATGCAACACATACACTATCTCAAAATGCTTATGCCAAAGCACAACTCATCCAACAAAAGTAGGACAAACCCCACAATGGATCTCATGAACACACTCATCATGAAATTTCGAACACCAAGCCAAAGGAAAGGCTCATCAATTGAACTACTAGAAGTAGTATGAAAATAAGAAGTTTTGTTTTAAAACAATTCTATTAAAAAGCATACTTGAAAAAGAACGGTTTCTGCAAGATCAAAAAGATCCAAGACAAGATGAAAACCCTCTTGGTTTAATCATACTTGACACGAAAAATGGACACTCCATTTAACAAAAATTCCTCACAGGAAAAACTCTCAAAAGAGACAACAAAAATGACCACTCAAGGGTGCTTAAGAAATTCGGCCAAGCCTCCTATTTATAGGCTTAGAATTTTCGGCCAGCACCACTAAAAAGAAGACCAATTAGGACTCTCTAATCTTATCTCTCAAGGAGTAAAAGAGTACTTGATCCCTTTGACTCTATCTAAAATCTAGGAAACCTTATCTAAATGACTTATCCTGAAGTAGGATAATATCTAGAAGGAATCTAAGACTCCTAATCAAAACACTCTAGTTTAATTCAGTCCACATGACTTATTTAACTAGATAAAAATTTGAAAATTGACTCCTAGACTTAGACTAACTCTAATCTCGAAATTCAGCTCCAAATTGTTGAAGTAAAATGTCTTGAACGCCCTTCCAAAAGTGGAATATTGGTCTTGCGCCCCTTACGTTGTAGAAAACTCCAATTTACTCCAAAACTTGTAGAATTCTCTTTATTGACTCCAAAAGATTGGAAAAACACTTGAAACAATTAAGATAGTTTGCAACCTATCCAATTGTGTAGCAATGGACTCAATCTTGAATACTTTGATCAAATAGGCCGTCCATTCAAGAACCTAAATGACTCTTCTCACTAGCTTGATCAATGATCTTCATGAAGCACACAGAGTCAAACTCTCTTGATACTCATCAGCACTTATTTCCATGAGTTCTTCATCTCCTTTGGTTTGAATCCGAAAGTTAATGACATTCTCATCACCTTGATCATAGCTCTCTTGAACCAACTCCCTATCACATAGGTAGTCAAGATCCATCCTTTCTTCCTTGATTGGTCTGCAAAGTAAACTTGGCATTCCAAAACTAGAACGAAGGACTAGCTCATTCCCCTCACTAGGAGAACCTCCATGAAAGACTACATGATTCTCATCATCCCCTCCTTCTTTAGGAGGATTCGTCCTTGAATCATCAACCTCTATACCTGCACAAGGAACAAACGAGATATAAGGGTTAGTAAAATCCTCACCCTCACCACACTCTGATTTTCTCTCATTGCATGCATTTTTTTTCTGTTTCCACCCTATTTTCATGGTTTTCTCTCGCCTCAAGTCTTACCTCAGCGTGACCCTTTTTACTTTCTTGTGTCACTCGCTCGACTTTTTCTCTCCCTTGTGTATAGGTTATCTTACGTCTTTTCTCTTGCACAGATTCAGATTCTTCATAAGCCAAAGGCTTAAGAATGTATTTTCTGTCCTCTTTAGTAAAGACAAAGATATTCTTCGAGCAATGGTGCACAGCATCTACATCTGACTGCCAAGGCCTACCTAGCAAAATATCACAAAGAGACATAGGAATTACATCAAAGTAAATTTCATCCCTATACTCGCCAATCTGAAAAGGTACCATGGCCTTTTTAGTAACATCCACAACCATCTCTTCACTCAACCATTGAAGTTTGTATGGTCTAGTATGCGGATCCATCTTGATTCCGTTTGCTATGCAAAATTCCTCACTTATACAATCAGTACTCGACCCACCGTCGATTACCAAATCAACGTCATTGGACCACCCAACCGAACACTTAGTACGGAAGATACAAGTCCGTTGATCTCCATCTTCAGCGCCAAATTCCAACCCCTGATCCTCAATTGGACCATTCCAACCACAAGAAGTATCATGCTCTCTTTCCACTTCTAAGGCAGCATAGTATGCCTCATAGAGCCTTGATTGTCTCCTTATCTTTGGGTGTTGTTTGAACCACTTGTCTAAGCCATAGTGGAAACGGTCTGTTAACATGTAGTCGTTCTCATCCACTTCTGAACTCAGAAACAACCCTTCTAATTCCTCAAAGTAAGATTGAATGGATCTACCATTCTGCTTACAATTGAGCAACTTCACTTTTGCTTCATCAAAGGTGTTAGTACCAGCATATCTTTCTCACAAAGCATTTCTCAAATCATGCCAATCATCCAAATTACGATACCAATAATGCGAATAGATATTTTAAACTAATTTCCACCAATTCAAACCATTAGAACGAAAACAACCTATAGCTAAGGCTATTTTCTCACTCTCTTTCTCTATGTTAAGCAACATAAAAAAATTCTCTATGCTCTTTTCCCAAGTATCATATTCTCTATGACAACCATAAAACAAAGGCAATGACACTTGCAACATTTCCAGCATACGAGGGTACTTGTTTAACTTCAAAACGATCACATAAGACTCTTAAATTTTCAGCAATTTTCTGAAAACTTACCATAGCTTTATTTTGCTGATTTGAAAGCAATTGAGACAAGTCTCGGTTTGCCTCCTTAACCTCGGCCAAAGCATCATGTAGGAAGTCAATTTGACTCTTCATGAGCTGTACTTGAGCCTCCATGAGACCCTCTACACTCTTTGAAGCGACTTGAGTACAACCAGCAACTCCAGATGACATCTTTGCTCAACAACTCTGAGAAACCACCAACAAAAGAAGTAATGTGCCTTGTGTACTATACAAAAACTCCTTGAATCTTAGAACCAAAGTTTGGTTCGGCCGAAACCCCCCCAAGAACCAAACGAAGGTTCGAATAAAGCTCTCCCCAAAAACAAAAACTCTCTTGTGCTTTTAAGAACACAACTTTCAAAATTTCAGAATTAAAGAGAAGAGTGCTTCTCTTGTTCTTTTCTCTTTTGATCTCGGCAGCAAGAAAGAAGAAGAAGATTGGAGTAGAGTGATGTGAGAATTTTTGAAAAACAGCACCCCTAGTTATAGGCAATGCAAGTCTTTTTGTGCAAGAAAACTCCTACAAGATAGGACCTAAATTTTCTCAAAAATATTCCCCCCCCCCCTTTTTAATGATGAAGGCTGCTCGACAATGTGGAATAAAGAAGAAGAAAAACCGGCCTCATATAAATAGACAAGGATAGAGTCCTAAAACTTAGGTAAACATAAGTTTTAGGAAAACTCATCCCTACTTATTAGAGATAAAACTCATCCCTACTTATTAGAGATAAAATTTTCGACCCCCCTACTACTAAAAGGACTCAAATACACGGCCACACACATGCACAATTGTATTAGAAGACTCAAAATTTTCAGATTAGGATAAGACTTCCTTATCTTAATAGTTTTCGAAAATAGACTCACTTTAAAACTCGAATTATAATCTCACTGAAATTATAATTTAACACATGCAAAAATTAGTATTTAAATCCAAGTAGGACTTAAATAAAACACACAATAAAATTGTATTATAATTAGGAAACAATGGCTGCAAATTTTCGGCCAATGTGAACACAAAAATCCAAAACCGAATAGGACTCAAATCATAACACAATTTGGACTCAATGACCTTAATTTTAGGGCTAAAATTTTCGGCCATGTGAACACACAAATACAAGACCAAATAGATCTCCAAGTGTAACACAAATAGACAACCAAAATTCAAGTTCAACTAGGACTAGGAAACCCTAATTTTTAGCTTCACAATCTCGGCTATGCTATGACTCTAAAATTCAAAACCAACTAGGCTTAGAATACCACATAAATCACACACACACACATGCAAAAAGTCAGCAAAAAATTCGGCTATTAACCTTTTACAACATAGTTAAAATTTGAAAAATTACTTTTGACTCACTTAAAAAGGAAACTTGAAAATTACCACTTTCCAAAAATGGACAACAACTTTTAAAATCTTTCTAAAAATCCTTTTCCAAATTGTACTTAGAATTAACAAAAATCACTTTTTACCAAAACAATCCATGGCAAATAAAGTAACAAGAACACCATAATTATAATGAAGTAGGAAATTAAAGTTCCTCATTCAATTATGACATTTGCTTCATAATACTAAATTTAACACAACTCATTCTGAAAACTCAATGACTTAACAATGCCATCTTCATAAGTGACCATTGAACAACTTTTCCAACAACCAAATATGTAAACTTTAAGAATATATCTCAAAGCCTATAAGATTTCTTGTCATAAATTAAGAAAATATTTTTAGTAAAACTTCACTCAATTTTTGATCCTACTCTCGAAAATCAAGGTTTTAAATACAAGTCAAAGACTTCAATCCTTAAAGTTGGCACAATTCAACTTCAAAGACCTTAAAACACTTTGATACCAAAAACTGATATCACTAAAAAAAAATTCATTCCTCATCACATGACAAAGAAAGTTTTGACTCAAGTTAAGAATCAAGAAAAAATCCAATGATAGGAAGAATCCACTAATTCGACTCAATCTCAAAGTGTAAAACTTGAGAAAACAAGAAAACCAACATTTGTTACTTTTGAAAAATCTTTTGACACTAAGATTAAACAAGATAATCAACAAAATTCGGTCTCTATGAAATTTTCATGAATTGAAAATACATAAATTCCATTTTGCTCATTAGATTCAAATGCAACCAACAAGAAGGAAGACTTTTTCATTTATACTTTATGTAGAAAGTACAAAATCACTAAGCTTCACCTTTCAAAGAATAGATCCAAGATATTTACCACAAGATAAACTCTCAAATCCTCCTTATGTAAAGACATCTCTTTAGAAAGAAAAGGCTATAGCAAGAAGCTCTTCTTTTCCATTAATTCTCTCCTTAAAGATCCAACACATCCACCAACTTGCTCATAGGAGAAACAGTTCTCTACTTGCAAATCAAGGATAAATTTCAAGATGTAGCGCCCACTTTGATTAGATACCAACGTACCATCATCAAGTTCTCGCATAGATCTCAAAATAACACCACAAGATCAAACAAATGTGTAAGAAGTCACGCACAACCACACAAAAGACAAGACCAATTTTGAAAACGTAGTTTTCACAAGAATTTGATTTATTTTTTCAACACCCGATTCCAAAACAAGAAGGAACCTTGAATCAAATAAAGATAGTACTACTCGTTAAGTACCACAAAGCTCGATTACCACACCAAGTAACGGATTCCGGGGTAATTCAAGATATTCTCAAAACCAAGAACTATGAAGTCCTCAACTAAGAAGAAATCTCTCGAAAATCAAACTGATAATAGGAATTGATATGATAATATCAATTAATACCATCACTAAGATAATCCAAGCTCTGATACAAAGAAACTGATAGCAATCTCGTAGACGAAGCAAATTTCGTTAATGCAACCATCAACAAGAAAGTACGAAGATAATTTTGTCTGTCTCGTGAAACTCAAAAGAGTGCGGAAAATTCACAGTAACACGATCGTTTATCTAAGTGATTCTATCTCTTAACTCAAACCAAGCAAAGAACACATTATCCATGAAAGATTCGAATTAAACAACAACCCACGCTAAGAATAACAAGGACACCATTCAATATACTCGATCAGTCATCTATCAAGAGACTCAAGAAAGGCAGGAGTAAACAATGCCCAACTATGAAGGAATACTATTGATTAGTAATCTTCATAACCAACCAAAGATATGCAACACATACACTATCTCAAAATGCTTATGCCAAAGCACAACTCATCCAACAAAAGTAGGACAAACCCCACAATGGATCTCATGAACACACTCATCATAAAATTCGAACACCAAGCCAAAGGAAAGGCTCATCAATCGAACTACTAGAAGTAGTATGAAAATAAGAAGTTTTGTTTTAAAACAATTCTATCAAGAAGCATACTTGAAAAAGAACGGTTTCTGCAAGATCAAAAAGATCCAAGACAAGATGAAAACCCTCTTGGTTTAATCATACTTGACACGAAAAATGGACACTCCATTTAACAAAAATTCCTCACAGGTAAAACTCTCAAAAGGGATAACAAAAATGACCACTCAAGGGTGCTTAAGAAATTCGGCCAAGCCTCCTATTTATAGGCTTAGAATTTTCGGCCAGCACCACTAAAAAGAAGACCAATTAGGACTCTCTAATCTTATCTCCCAAGGAGTAAAAGTAGAAGAGTACTTGATCTCTTTGACTCTATTTAAAATCTAGGAAACCTTATCTAAATGACTTATCCTCAAGTAGGATAATATCTAGAAGGAATCTAAGACTCCTAATAGTTTAATTCAGTCCACATGACTTATTTAACTAGATAAAAATTTGAAAATTGACTCCTAGACTTAGACTAACTCTAATCTCAAAATTCAGCTCCAAATTGTTGAAGTAAAATGTCTTGAACGCCCTTCCAAAAGTGGAATATTGGTCTTGCGCCCCTTAAGTTGTCGAAAACTCCAATTTACTCCAAAACTTGTAGAATTCTCTTTATTGACTCCAAAAGATTGGAAAAACACTTAAAACAATTAAGATAGTTTGCAACCTATCCAATTGTGTAGCAATGGACTCAATCTTGAATACTTTGATCAAATAGGCCGTCCATTCAAGAACCTAAATGACTCTTCTCACTAGATTGATCAATGATCTTCATGGAGCACACAGTGTCAAACTCTCTTGATACTCTTCAGCACTTATTTCCATGAGGTCTTCATCTCCTTTGGTTTGAACCCCAAAGTTAATGACATTCTCATCACCTTGATCATAGCTCTCTTGAACCAACTCCCTATCACATAGGTAGTCAAGATCCATCCTTTCTTCCTTGATTGGCCTGCAAAGTAAACTTGGCATTCCAAAACTAGAATGAAGGACTAGCTCATTCCCCTCACTAGGAGAACCTCCATGGAAGGCTACATGATTCTCATCACCGCACCCCCCAGAGTGGACGAGAAAGAAAGGATTTCTCGGAGCAAGCCCCAGGTTCCAGACCCAGGAGTTAACTTTCCCGCATGAGCATTCGGTACATGAATAAGTCCGTGGAAGAGTGAAAGGGTCACCACTACTGAGGATCTCCCCCCTAATCTTAGATTGGTCGTCTGAGGGTTCGCTGCGGTTCATTGCTGTGCTTACACACTAGAGCAGACCCCATTGAAGACGAGAGTGAGGTACAACAAGGCCATTTCTGCCCATCGCCCTTCTCACGGAGCCGTACGTGGAAGTTACCGCTCATACAGCTCCCAGCCAGCAAAGGATTAGCCTTCCTCTACAAGGAATAAAAGTGTGGATGAATCAACATCAAATAGAGGCATTTGTTCTTTTGTTTTTTGCCTTACCGAGCTTGGACCATGTCTCCGGAAACCGAGTCGTCCGGTTTGCAACGCCTACTACAACTGCGGGGTGGGAACTCTATAGATCCAAATTCACCTATCCCTATCCGGGAGTGGCAATCCGAAAGAGCGTCGGAATTTAGCATCACTAAAATGCTCAAAAAACTGCTTATACAGTTCGGACGCTCTTTCCTCTCGCGCTACTGTTTGCACTACTTCATCAATCTTATTGTAGTGTTCCAATGCGGGGCCTTCGTACTCCCAGGCTTCCAGGTTCTCTGTTAAAAACCCGTGAGCCTCTTCCCGGATATGCTGGTAAGGCGAGAGTTCCATTATTTTCTCCAGATTTCGTTCTGTAATCATGAGAGAGAATAACTTCTCTTGGAGACTTGCCTTTTCTACAACCAGGACTTGCCAGTACTCTGAGTCCAAAACTCGACGTAGTTCTTCTACAGTGGCCGCCTGGTCCAAGTTCTCTCTTACCAGCGCAGCGTACTCTCCGGGAGCATTCTGTGGAGGAATACAGTAATGCTCATCACGCTCCAGTGCCGTAATCCGCCGAAAGATGTCCATTTCATAATCGACGGCTATAACATTTTGGAAGGTTTGGAGTGATTCGGAGTTTGAGGATGGAGCCGATGGCGAAGACTCGGGGGGAGTCAGTGGTTCCTCCGGCAATGGGACCAGACTAGGGGGCAGCCGGAAAGAATTATCCTCCTCGCAAGAAACTACAGGTATCAAACTTGCAGAAAAGAGGAATGTTCCCGCTAAGGCAATAACGAAAGAGATATAATAGAAAGGACCATAGCAATCCCAATAGTTACGTTTTGTCCATAACGAAATCGATAACGAAAGAAGTAATGAAAGAAGTATAGATCGTACATCGGGATGTACGTTGCTGATTTTTAGTTCTATCAGTTCCGCAACCATAAAAAAAAGATTCAATATGAGAATAGACGAAATTGAAAAATGTAGCAATCATTATTTATTTTTCCTTTGTTCTAAATCCCGTTTTTTCCCTATCCATTACTTTTTTTTATTCCCAATCCAAAGCACCCCTTTTCCATTCATAGAGAGATCCAATGACCGGGCTTGGACCATGTCTCCCGAACAATCTTAATACATATGGCGCAAGACGATTCCACATTTCGAGGTCGGAATGGGATCGGATGTTTTCACGTCTCACCGTAGTGCCCGGTTTGTCTTGATTGACGATTGATGAACAAGAAGGAAAATGGAAACTCTTTTTTGACTCGCCCCCAGCTACGTGTCCTTTGGACCCTTCGCCCGCCTGCCACCAGTGGGAAGCAAGCTAGTCCCCTATGTTGGTTGGGGGAAGAGGGCATTTCCATCGCGAAGGATTCAATCCAGCTACAGGTGTTCCCCTACGGCTACCTTGTTACGACTTCACCCCAGTCGAAGACCCCACCGTGGTATGCGCCAATAAGACCACCAAAAGCCTTTGTGGCACTAGTGTGACACAGAAGTCATGGGCGATCATTGGTTCGATGCTTCGGGCGAAACCAATTCCCAGGGTGTGACGGGCGGTGTGTACAGGGCCCGAGTACATATTCACCGCGGCATGCTGATTCACGATTACTAGCAATTCCAACTTCATGTTCCCGAGTTGCAGAGAACAATCCGAACTGAGGCAATCTTTCCGGATTCGCTCCGCCTTACAACCTTGCTTCCCATTGTAATTGCCATTGTAGCACGTGTGTGGCCCAGCCCATAAGGGCCATGCGGACTTGACACTGGTAGTCCTTCGTGAGTGCGGCATGCACCTTTATCTTTGTTTCGGGGCCCTTTTGGCGGGGCATACTAAACCCACTACGTACCACACCACCGGGCGGCTCACCTAAATGCCTGGTCTTCTTATTAGTCAAGCGCGCTACTTGCAATCAAACTCCAGCGCTAACCAGAAATCGAAAGGCGCCAGCTACCTTCTTACTGACAGCTCAGCTACGTGCTGGCACTCAATTAGTAGCGGTGGCACGTCAATCGGCTCCTCAGCTCACTTCGGTTGCAAAGAATTTATCCTTAGGCGCATGTCTCAGCAACACAAAACGAGGGTTTCACTCGTTATAGGGACTTGACCAAACATCTCACGACACGAGCTGACGACAGCCATGCAGCACTTGTGTGAAAGTTAGTACCATCTGATGAGAATCATGTAGCCTTCCATGGAGGTTCTCCTAGTGAGGGGAATGAGTTAGTCCTTCATTCTAGATTTGGAATGCCAAGTTTACTTTGCAGGCCAATCAAGGAAGAAAGGATGGATCTTGACTACCTATGTGATAGGGAGTTGGTTCAAGAGAGCTATGATCAAGGTGATGAGAATGTCATTAACTTTGGGGTGCAAACCAAAGGAGATGAAGACCTCATGGAAATAAGTGCTGAAGAGTATCAAGAGAGTTTGACTCTGTATGCTCCATGAAGATCATTGATCAAGCTAGTGAGAAGTGTCATTCAGGTTCATGAGTGGACGGCCTATTTGATCAAAGTGTTCAATATTGAGTCCATTGCTACACAATTGGATAGGTTGCAAACTATCTTAATTGTTTCAAGTGTTTTTCCAATCTTTTGGAGTCAATAAAGAGAATTCTACAAGTTTTGGAGTAAATTGGAAGTTTCTACAACTTGAGGGGCGCAAGACCAATATTCCACTTTTGGAAGGGCGTTCAAGACATTTTACTTCAATAATTTGGAGCTGAATTTCGAGATTAGAGTCATTGTCTAAGTCTAGGAGTTATTTTCGAATTTTATCTAGTTAAATAAGTCATGTGGACTGAATTAAGCTAGAGTGTTTTGATTAGGAGTCTTAGATTCCTTCTAGATATTATCCTACTTGAGGATAAGTGATTTAGATAAGGTTTCCTAGATTTTAGATAGAGTCAAAGAGATCAAGTACTCTTCTACTTTTACTCCTTGTGAGATAAGATTAGAGAGTCCTAATTGGTCTTCTTTTTAGTGGTGTTGGCCGAAAAATTCAAGCCTATATATAGGAGGCTTGGCCGACTTTTAGAAGCACCCTTGAGTGGTCATTTTTGTTGTCTCTTTTGAGAGTTTTTCCTGTGAGGAATTTTTGTTAAATGGAGTGTCCATTTTTCGTGTCAAGTATGTTTAAACCAAGAGGGTTTTCATCTTGTCTTGGATCTTTTTGATCTTGCAGAAACCATTCTTTTTCAAGTATGCTTCTTGATAGAATTGTTTTAAAACTAAACTTCTTGTTTTCATACTACTTCTAGTAGTTCGATTGATAAGCCTTTCCTTTGGCTTGGTGTTCGAATTTCATGATGAGTGTGATCATGAGATCCATTGTGGGGTTTGTCCTACTTTTGTTGGATGAGTTGTGCTTTGGCATAAGCATTTTGAGATAGTGTATGTGTTGCATATCTTTGGTTGGTTATGAAGATTACTAATCAATAGTATTCCTTCATAGTTGGGCATTGTTTGCTCCTACCTTTCTTGAGTCTCTTGATTAATGACTGATCGAGTATATTGAATGGTGTCCTTGCTATTCTTAGCGTGGGTTGTTGTTTAATTCGAATCTTTCATGGATAATGTGTTCTTTGCTTGGTTTGAGTTAAGAGATAGAATCACTTAGATAAACGATCGTCTTATCGTGAATTTTCCGCACTCTTTTGAGTTTCACGGGATAGACAAAATTATCTTCGTACTTTCTTGTTGATGGTTGCATTAACGAAATTTGCTTCGTCTACGAGATTGCTATCAGTTTCTTGGTATCAGAGCTTGGATTATCTTAGTGATGGTATTAATTGATATTATCATATCAATTCCTATTATCAGTTTGATTTTCGAGAGATTTCTTCTTAGTTGGGAACTTTATAGTTCTTGGTTTTGAGAATATCTTGAATTACCACGGAATCCGATACTTGGTGTGGTGATCGAGCTTTGTGCTACTTAACGAGTAGTACTATCTTTATTTGTTTCAAGGTTCCTTCTTGTTTTGGAATGGGGTGTTGAAAAAATAAATCAAATTCTTGTGAAAACTACGTTTTCAAAATTGATCTTGTCTTTTGTGTGGTTGTGCGAGACTTCATACGTTGGTATCTAATCAAAGTGGGCGCTACATCTTGAAATTTATCCTTGATTTGCAAGTAGAGAACTGTTTCTCCTATGAGCAAGTTAGTGGATCTTATGTGTTGGATCTTTAAGGAGAGAATTGATGCCAAAGAAGAGCTTCTTGCTCGAGATAGCCTTTTCTTTCTAAAGAGATGTCTTTACATAAGGAAGATTTGAGAGTTTATCTTGTGGTAAATATCTTGGATCTATTCTTTGAAAGGTGAAGCTTAATGATTTTGTACTTTCTACATAAAGTATAAATGAAAAAGCCTTCCTTCTTGTTGGTTTCATTTGAATCTAATGAGTAAAATGGAATTTATGAATTTTCAATTCATGAAAATTTCATAGAGGCCGAATTTTGTTTAATCTTAGTGTGAAAAGATTTTTCAAAATTAATAAATTTTGGTTTTCTTGTTTTCTCGATTTTTTACACTTTGAGTTTGAGTCAAAAACTTTCTTTGTCAAGTGATGAGGAATGACTTTTAGTGATATCAGTTTTGGTATCAAAGTGTTTTAAGGTCTTTGAAGTTGAATTGTGCCAACTTTGAGGATTGAAGTCTTTGACTTGTGTTTTAAAACCTTGATTTTCGAGAGTATGGCCGAAAATTGAGTGAAGTTTTCTAAAAGATTTTCTTAATGTATGACAAGAAATCTTATAGGTTTTGAGATGTATTCTCAAAGTTTACATATTTGGTTGTTGGAAGATTGATTTTCAATGGTCACTTATGAAGATGGCATTGTTAAGTCATTGAGTTTTTCAGAATGATTTGTGTTGAATTTAGTATTATAAAGCAAATGTCATAATTGAATTATAATTATGGTGTTCTTGTTACTTTATTTGCCATGGATTGTTTTGGTAAAAAGTGATTTTTGTTAATTCCAAGTACAATTTGGAAAAGGGTTTTTAGAAAGATTCTAAAAGTTATTGTCAATTTTTGGAAAGTGGTAATTTTCAAGTTTCCTTTTTAAGTGAGTCAAAAGTAAATTTTCAAATTTTAACTATGTGGTAAAAGGTTAATGGCCGAAATTTTGCTGACTTTTTGCATGTGTGTGCGTGTGATTTATGTGTTATTCTAAGCCTAGTTGGTTTTGAATTTTAGAGTCATAGTATAGCCGAAATTGTGAAGCTAAAAATTAGGATTTCCTAGTTCTAGTTGAACTTGAATTTTGGTTGTCTATTTGTGTTACACTTGGAGACCTATTTGGTCTTGTATTTGTGTGTTCACATGGTCGAAAATTTTAGCCCTAAAATTAAGGTCATTGAGTCCAAATTGTGTTATGATTTGAGTCCTATTCGGTTTTGGATTTTTGTGTTCACATTGGCCGAAATTTGCAGCCATTGTTTCCTAATTGTAATACAATTTTATTGTGTGTTTTATTTAAGTCCTACTTGGATTTAAATACTAATTTTTGCATGTGTTAAATTATACTTTCAGTGAGATTATAATTAGAGTTTTAAAGTGAGTCTATTTTCGAAAACTATTGAG